TATATATATTGGTTTTTAATTTATTAAAAGCAAGCTGCGAGCATAATAAATAATATTCACAGAATGTTAGAGAATATATACAATTACACATGAGAACACAGGTAGGACCACTGAAGTTGTTAATGCAAAATAACTCAGAAATTAAGTCATTTAGAGAGGATTCAATCAAATAAACCTTAACAGATTAAAATGAAGGAACACTCATTATGTTTAACTGGAAGACAAACATTTTAAAGATCCTTTGAATGTCAATCTAATTCTCTTAAGTTGAAATCTTTACGCTTTATAAAAACATACAATTTTTCGATTAACCTTAAGAAGTTGCTTAAGACATACATAGTTTTATAATTCAATGATATCATTTTAACAAATATTTAAAAAATCATCTTTCTATTTTTAGGCAATAATTCTTTGGAGACTTAACATTTTTAATACGGTAAAACTTGTCTAAGACAGAACCTGACATTCCTTCAAAAAATTTCAGCCTTGGTAGGTTTCCATCTTATAGAGGGTTGTCAAAAATTAAACAAATAACGTAAGCACATTATTTTCTATATCATTTTGTTAGTGGTGAAAATCACACCAAAGTGTGAGAAAGTCATAGCAAAACAATTGCAGAGTTGGCCAAAGATTCACCAACAGCAGGCTTAAGAGGAAAAAACTAGTTGTTCACTTTCTTATCTCAGGACGTGGCCCTTCACTATGCCATTCCAAAGAGAATGCCAGAAATTTAAAAATAAATTTCCTTCTTAGCCATGTAATAATCATGTTTATGTTCTCTAAAATCCATTCTTTTTCCGTGTTGGACAGGCTTCCAGCTTATAGAGGTCATTTTCACGTATAAATTTGTTCTGTTCTGAGATTTTTTGTCTGGGATGGCAGGTTTCAGTCTTACAAACGATTTAGACCTGCCTTAGACAGGTTTTACTGTACAATTACTTCTCCCTCTCCCTTAACATTCACAAAAAATTCAGAAATTCCTATTTGTTTTTTTCTTTCTTGAAAATGACTTCAAATGAAATATGTAGTGAAATTTCTACTACAGATTCAAATCAATATCTATGCCAATCATGACAATTAGTTTTTATTAGACTTTTCCTTCTAAATCACATCATTTAGGAGATATTTCACATTCTCAAGTTCAGTGATTTCAGTGCTCAATAGTCTTTGGTATTTTTAGTATGCAGTATCG